TAGGAGATGTGAATTGAGGCTACACTATGGGCCGATTGCCCATGGGATAGTCTTTATTCATATCGATCACCAAGACGAAATAATATTCTATCACTTTAGGTCATATACCTATTGGAATGGAATCCCTTATTCGTTAAGGTGGTAACCATGAGCCTTTAGCATATCCCACCTTTAGGCGTCAAAACCATGCATAAGTTGCATCCGCATGTCTTTGTGATTGGGTATACCAAAAAAAAAAAAGATCGTCTCGGTAAACGTAAGAATCGTTCCTTGCTCCTCTCTTTAAATTATGCAAGTTATTTAGATAACATGAACAAATGCTTAAGAAACAATCCATGATTGATTTGGATCCCCTTTTAGGTTAAAATGAACTATTAGGGCCTTATACTCCATTGGGTCATTTTGCAATCTTAGATGAAATGTATAGGCCTATGAAGGATTTCCATGGTAAACCAAATGGCCATTGCCATTCAAAAATGAAAGGTCACTTTGATTGTATTCAAAAGGTTGTACACATCAAGTAGTCAAATGGCCTTAGCCATTCAAGGAATAGAGAGTCCATTTGGATGTATTTAGAGTTTACAAACCTCAAGTTGAGTCCTTTTGGTCGTAATGGAGTATAGAAAAGGGGTATTCATCTCAAACATTGATCTTGTGCCCATTTATAATCACATGTTCTGGTAAGACATAAAATGGACGTAATACGACATTTGTATGACTTTTTAAGTATACAAATGCTTCTTATTTCCATTTGGTCTTAAAAAGAACATATGATTGAAATGGAAGTTTTAATTAAGGATCGTTTTGCATTCTTTAGACTCAAATGGGGAAACTAGACATTCAAGTGATTCCAATTCCATGAAAAGAGCTCCTCGCATGGTGGGAAGGCATGACCACGAAGAATCAAGCTTATGTCAAGGAAAGATTGGGATATCTCTTCGGGGTAATCAATGTCAAGCATCAAGTCAGTTTGATTCAAGCCCTAGCTCACTTCTGGGAAGTCACCAATGCTACGTTTCTACTTTGTGAGAATGAGATGGTACCAACTTTGGAAGAATACAAGGCCGCCATCGGAATTGACTTTAAATCTAGGATCGTAGAGCCACCGATAGGACTTAATCTGTGACATTCCGAATTTCGACCCATTTTTGGGATTTATAAAAAGTGTGTTTCGTCGGTGCACTTATAGTTAAATCTCGCCCAGAACTGATCACTCTCGGGTTATTTTTAAATTTGAGATTTCGCTAAAATCGCACTCAATCGAATTTGGCCGTTATTTAGAGCCCGAACTTTAGTGTCGAATTTCTCGGAGTTTCGTGACGAATTTAATTGGACGGTGTCGATATTATTGTGGCCAGCGTTGATATTGCCCGTGATTGGTGAAAAGTGAAATTTGGACCGGGTGCGGATTTTGACTAGTATAGCTTTCTCTTAGTGTGTTTTAGTTAGTGTTTTTGGCCTTTTCCTAATTTATAAATTAGGGTTTTTCATGGACCGTCGGATCGACTCCAAGTTTAAACGTGAGCCGTTGGATCATACTCGATTAGTTGACTTTCTCCCCCTCTCTCTCTCTCTCTCTCCTCTATCTCTCCTCTCTCTCTACTCCCCCACGTCGCCGCTGCCCCTACGTTGTTGACTCCTCTTTTCTCGCTGATGACCCCATGTTGTTTCTACTGACTGCTGCCGTTTCTGCTTCTGCCTTACCACTGCTGACCCCACGTTGCTGCTGCTGCTGCTGCTGCTGCTGACTTCCCCATACAGTGGCTGACTTCACCCATTCCCCATGATGAACTTCACGTGTTGCTGCTTCTATCCCTTTGCTGCTGCTGCTTCTTCTTCTTCACTTCTGCTTCTTCGTGCGTCTGGTTCTTCTTCATTCTGCTTCCTTCGGCTTCTTCTTGTCCAGCCGGCTGCCAGACCTAAACCACGCCGGAACCAGCCATGCCGAGCAACACTCCACCCCGCCACCGCACCACCACCGTCCTAGCTTCATCCCTGGCTGAGCCGCACCGCCCCTGCTGCCCCGAAGTTTTCCGTCGCCGGCTGTTTTCTAGCCGAGCTTCCAACTTCGTCGCTTGCCGGTTCAGTCGCCGTTCACCTCACACCACCGCCATTCTCTCCCATTCTCACCCTCATCTCTCTCTCACTTGCTCACTCGGCCATCACCAGCACCACCCCCGACCACCTGAGCTGCCGTCCATCGTCCGCCCTTGCCGCTGCATCACCGGAGTAGCCGCTGCCGTGCCAAGGCTCTTGTTTGCTCCCTTGCTAAGTTGTCTTGCTTAGGCTCTCTTATAAGTGGCTTCCTAACCCTTGACTAGGCTAAGGGGTGATTAACAGACATGTTAGGGATGGTTTAAGGGCTGTGGATAGTTGGTTTAGTAGCTGGTTGTGCTTGGTTTGCTTGGTGGTGCTTGTTGGTTGATTTTCGGTAAGGTTGCTACTGCGTCGCTGGATTTTTCTTTTTTTGTTGTGACTTGTGTGGGCCGAATTTGAGGAAATGTTCTTCATGAAAGTTGTTCATAACATCTTGAAGTATGACATATATTAAATCTGGAATTTTTGGAGATCATTTAGGGCCATTTGTAAGTTCATTTTTGGATCGAATTCAGTCTGCAGGATTTACTGTTCACCCGACCTTCTTTTTTTTTTTTTTTTTTGATTACCCGGGAACCCCTCGCACGGCCGACAGCCGGAGAGGTAAACCCGGGGTGACGCTAGCGCAGGACCCACCACCACGACGTCACGCTTAAGAATCGCTAACGACAACGCTGGGATTCGAACTCCTTCCCTTCGTGAGGGGAAGAGAGCCCGAAGCCAACGCAGCCGTTTCGGGCAGTGGTTCCACCCGACCTTCTTTGTCTTTCCGATTTTCTATAAATTTTTCCAAACCTCTTTTCAACAAACTTTCTTCACAAAAATTGTTGAGAACATCCGTCTCTATTACATATAAAAATTTCAGAGCTTTCCAAAGTGATTTGAGTACTGAATGAGTTGTATTTTTTATGGTCTGAGGGGCTGTTCGAGCGAACCGGGTTCTGTCCGAATTTGAGTGTCAAAACGAGGCATTTACAGTCAGAAATGGATTTCGTGTCCTTCATGAAAAATGTTTATCAAGATGTTTTGTACAATATATCCAAATTTCATAATTTTGGAGTTGATTTACTATTTATTTTAAAGGAAATTCGGCGACTGTGTTACTGCCCAGAATTGCCCGGAATCACCCACTTTTGTGTGTACTCGGTTTTCTTATTTTCGGGCAATTATTCAAAGGCTGGGTTATCAATGAAAAGTGTGGCATTTTATTGGCCGAGTAAGTATTCGGTTGGCATGTGACCAATTCTCAGAGATAAAAATTGGCATTTAGTGGATAATGTGTGTGTATGATCACGTCACGTTCCGTCTAGGCAGGAGTTCTAGAGGATGCCCGGCGAGAGTTCGGATGCCGTCTGGTACCCGGGGTTGCCGAGGGGTGTTCGATCCCAGACGATGCCGATCGCGGTGGAGGCCGGATCGATGCTCCTAAGTGGAATGTCGGTGGGTACTCGGCGTGCCGGGGGGTGTTCGATCCCCAACGTTGCCGTCTGGTACCCGGGGTTGCCGGGGGGGTGTTCGATCCCAGACGATGCCGATCACGGTGGACGCCTGATCGATGCTCCTAAGTGGAATGTCGTTGGGTACCCGACTTGCCGGGGGGTGTTCAATCCCCAACGTGGCCGTCGCCGACATAGCGGGACGATGCCTAGTTACGCCAGAAGACCGGCGGGAGTTTAGTGGTCCGAGGGGTCGTTAATAACTTGGATACATGTGAACGTATGCTATGCGTTGGCGGATGCTCGAAATCCGGAATATTGAGTATGTTTCTTATGATTATGCCATGACTTGAAGAGTGCTTGTTTGATGAGCAATTGGCCATGTTATGGCGATATTCTAACGTGCAGGACTTTTGTATGTGCCGAGGCGAGGTAAGGACGCCTGTGATTGTTTATGGCACGTCGATTGTTCGAATTGCATGTTTAGAATCGTTCGGAGGTACGCTTTGGCCTAAGCGAGGCTTAGGTAGTTGCTTATTGAGATTTATTTTCATTGTTGTAATATAACCCTTTTCAGACCCGCGACCATGATTAATCCGGATACGCTGCCAAGGTACTACGGGGATTGAGATTAGGTCGAGTTACCTCGTCTTTTGAGTGCCCCTTTTTGTAGAGGAGTTAAGCTTACCAACCACCCGATCCTTTTTGTTATGCGTGGTTCGTCGATAGTGGCCTCTAGTAAGGCTTGTACCTTGTGCCGTTTGTAAGTAACATTATGTTCTTAAAAAAAAAAGGCGGTTTGTTGATGTGTATCGTTCGTCTCTCTCTACTACCCTATTTCATTGTATGTTATATGGTGAGTTCGAATTTGCTTCCGCTCGCGTTCCTCGTTTGAGTTAAGTTGGGTCGGCGACAAGTCCTGGGATGTCGCATGATTGACGACCCCGGAGGGATGTTGCGTGCTCGTTCAGGTTCGGGGCGTGACATCCCTGTTGATTTGATATCAGAGCAAGGTCAGCTCGATCCAAGTTGGTCGAAGCCTGGAGTGATAAGGAGCGATGACTTTGGGGTAGCCAGTTAGGGAGACTCGTGTGCCATGCGTACTCCAGACTGTGTGATTGTGATTGTTGAGTGATCTTATGCATTAATATGTGAGGTGCAGGTGCGTCAGGGACTTGAGGTAAGTGCACGAACCTTGTTGGCTGCGATTGAGTGCTGTTTGTGATTGGCTGCCTGCTTAGTGAATTGTTATTGTGATTCACTGCCTAGGACTTTAGACTGGTATAGTTGACCTAGGTCTCTAATTCCTGAATGGAATTATAGCAGGTAGACAAGTGTGAGAACCCAGTGAGAATGAGGAGTCGAGGAAGAGGTCGAGGTCGAGGCCGTATGGCCCCGCAAGCTAGATTTGCAGAAGATCCCCGGGTGAATGGAATTCTAAGGGTACTATAAGAAGTCAGGATTTTAATGGGTAGACAGACTGAAGAGCGGAATGCTACTATCGCTGCTGCTGCTGAGGCCGCTGTTGCTGCCGCCAACGGAGCCAATGGGAATAATGGAAACAATGGGAACCACGGGAATGACGGGCATCCCGCTCAGGGCCAAGTACAGGCAAACAGACCAATGTCTAAGCTGGTTGAACAGTTTCTGAAGTTGAAGCCCCCGAGATTTGATGGGAGAGGCGACACTAAGACTGCTCCTCGATGGGTGGAAGAACTAGAGAAAGCCTTCGAAGTGCTGGGATGCACTGAAGAGGAAAAAGTAACCCTGGCAATCTACAAGCTTCAGGAAAACGCAAGCGATTGGTGGAGAGCCACCAAAGGTCAAGTGTTCCCTGCTGGTACTGCCCCGACTTGGACTATTTTTACCGAGACCTTCAATGGCAAGTATTTCTCGAAAAGCGCCCGAGAGCATAAGTTGGCTGAATTCATGAGACTTCGCCAAGGTCAGATGTCGGTGGATCAGTACGAAGCCGAGTTTACAAGGCTGTCCAAATTTGCCCCAAGAATGATAGAGGACCCAGTGGACAAAGCCAGGAGGTTCCGAGACGGGTTGAAGCCGGACCTTCACAGTCAAATGATATTGCTGAACCTGAGGGGTTATCATGAGATATATGACCGAGCTTAGGCAATTGAGTGTGATTTAATGGATCGGGCTGCCGCCTCTGGATCGCGGCAGGCCCCGACTAGGGACAACAGTCGTTTTGGGAAGAGACCTATGACGGGAAATAATCGTTTTGTCCCTCCCGTTAGGAAAAATATTGGGAAGCAGAACTACTATTCTAACGCTGCCTGTCGATTGTGTGGAAGAAGGCATGGGAATGGCCCTTGCCCAGGCTAGACTGGAGCATGTTTCGGATGTGGCCAACAAGGTCACCAAGTGAAGAATTTCCCGAACCGACAAGCTAGGCCGCCGATGCATCAACAACAACCAAGGTTGGGACATCAAGCGGGAGCTGCCCCGCAAAACAATCAGGATAGACCCCCAACCCAAGGAAGGATTTATGCTATGGCTCGCAAAGAGGCAGAGGATGCGTCTGGCGTGATCACAGGTATGGTCTCTTTATGTGATCATGCTGCTTATGCAAGAATTGAAAGTTCAGATGCAAGAATTATTGGATAAAGGCTTTATTCGCCCAAGTGCGTCTCCATGGGGAGCGCCAGTCTTATTCGTGAGGAAGAAGGATATGACATTGAGACTGTGCATTGACTATAGACAGTTGAATCAGGTAACCGTTAAGAATAAGTACCCGTTACCAAGGATAGACGACCTGTTTGATCAGTTGGAAGGAGCATCGATATTTTCTAAGATCGACTTGAGGACGGGTTACCACCAATTGAGGATTAAGAAGGAGGATATACCAAAAACGGCATTTAGGACGAGGTTTGGGCATTACGAGTTTACGGTGATGCCGTTTGGATTGACTAACGTCCCTGCTACCTTTATGGATTTAATGAATAGGGTATTCAAAGAATTTCTGGATCAGTTTGTAATCATGTTCATAGACGATATCTTGGTATACTCAAAGAGTTCAGCCGAGCACGAGTTACATTTGGAAAAGGTTTTACGGACTTTAAGGGAACATGCACTCTGTGCTAAGTTCAGTAAGTGCGAATTCTGGCTTCATCGAGTGGTGTTCTTAGGACATGTGGTATCTGGAGAAAGAATTGCAGTGGATCCGACAAAGATTGAAGCCGTCACGAATTGGCCGAGATCGACAACAATAACCGAGGTTTAGAGCTTCTTGGGTCTAGCAGGTTATTACAGACGCTTTGTGGAAAAGTTTGCGGCATTAGCAACATCGTTGACACGTTTACTAAAGAAAGAAACGAGGTTTGAATGGACGGATAAGTGCGAAAGGAGCTTCCAAAAGTTAAAATAGAGGTTGACGACCGCACCAGTGTTGACAATACCGTCAGGTCCTGGAGGATATGAAATCTACAGTGATGCGTCGCTAAAGGGACTAGGATGTGTGTTAATGCAACACGGAAGAGTGGTGGCATACGCATCGCGATAATTGAGACCGCACGAGCTGAATTATCCGACGAACGACTTGGAATTGGCCGCGATTATCTTTGCTCTTAAGATTTGGAGACATTACTTGTGTGGGGAGAAATTTCAGATTTATACGGACCATCAAAGTTTAAGGTACTTGTTCTCCCAAAAGGAATTGAACATGAGACAGCGCCGTTGGATGGAACTCCTTAAGGACTATGACTACGAGATTATGTATCATCCCGGAAAAGCTAATAAAGTAGCGGATGCGCTGAGCCGGAAATCGAGCATCACGCATATGATGGTCAAGGAATGGACTCTGTTGGAGGGAGTTCGGGATTCGGAGTTTAAGTTTGAAGTGAGTCATGTCTCAAGTCTGCTTGCAGCATTGAGGATTGAACCGGAGATCCAGACTAAGATTAAGGCCTTACAATCGACGGACCCGGAGATTCAGAAAATTCTAAAAATGGATGTCACAAAAAGGAAATCGGACTTTCAGGTATCCGAGGAGGGGATTCTGAAGTTCCGTGGACGATTGTGTGTACCCGGTGATGCAGAACTGAAGAAGGAGATTTTGTCAGAAGTTCACCGCAGCAATTACAATATTCACCCGGGTAGTACGAAGATGTATCAGAACTTGCGACAGCATTATTAGTGGAATAGCATGAAAGTGGATGTGGCTAAGGTCGTGGCTAAGTGTTTAACATGTCAATAAGTGAAGGCGCAACATTGCAAGCCGGGTGGAATGTTGCAGCCATTGGACATCCTCGAATGGAAGTGGGAACACATCACAATGGACTTTGTAATGGGATTACCGAGGAGTCAGAGGGGTCATGATTCAATTTGGGTGGTAGTCGACCGATTGACAAAGTCAGCACATTTTCTGTCGGTGCGAAAGGACTTCGCCTTGGAAAGGTATGCCGAGATATACGTGCGACAAATAGTCCGTCTTCACGGAGTGCCGATGACGATTACTTCAGCCCGTGACCCTAAGTTTACTGCCGCTTTTTGGAAAAGTCTTCATACGGCAGTAGGAATGAAGTTACAGTTTAGCACGGCCTATCATCCCCAAACGGATGGCCAGTTTGAAAGGACCATTTAGACTTTGGAAGATATGCTGCGGGCATGTGTATTGGATTTTAAGGGTAGTTAGGAGGAACAGTTGCATCTGGTTGAGTTTGCCTACGACAATAGCTATTAACAGAGTATCAGAATGGCACCATTTGAAGCGATGTATGGCAGAGCTTGCAAAACGCCGATTTGTTGGGATGAAGTTGGTAAGAGGAGCATCACGGGTCCAGAGTTAGTTCAGCAGTCAGTCGAAACAGTCAAGGTGATTCAGGACAGGCTTAAGACCGCTCAGAGCCGCCAAAAGAATTATGCAGACCGGAGACGTAGGCCTTTGAAATTTTAAGTGGGGGACCACGTTTTCCTCAAAGTATTGCCGATGAGAGGATTGTCATGGTTTGGCAAGAAAGGGAAGTTGAGCCCGAGGTACGTGGGTCCATTCGAGATCTTAGAGAGAATTGGTACTTTGGCCTATCGTCTCGCACTACCACCGAATTTGTCCCAAGTTCACAATGTGTTCCATGTGTCTATTTTAATTTTAAGGAAATACGAACCGGATCCGACCCACGTGCTGAATTATGAAGAAATAGACGTGGAAATAGAGTGTCATACGTGGAAAGGCCAGTAAGGATTGAGGATAGAATGGAACGAGTGTTGCGGAACAAGACAATTCCAATGGTCAAAGTAATTTGGGAGCATCATGGAACCGAAGGTGCGACATGGAAAAGCGAAGAGTTGATGCGACATCAATACCCTCATTTGTTCGAATAATTGGGTTGGGTTGTAAATTTCGAGGACGAAATTTTTGTAAGGGGGACGAGTTGTGACATTCCGAATTTCGACCCATTTTTGGGATTTATAAAACGTGTATTTCGTCGGTGCACTTATAGTTAAATCTCGCCCAGAACTGATCACTCTCGGGTTATTTTTAAATTTGAGATTTCGCTAAAATCCTACTCGATCGAATTTGGCCGTTATTTAGAGCCCGAACTTTGGTGTCGAATTTCTCGGAGTTTTGTGACGAATTTAATTGGACGGTATCGATATTATTGTGGTCAACGTCGATATTGCCCGTGATTGGTGAAAAGTGAAATTTGAACCGGGTGCGGATTTTGACTAGTAGACCTCCCTCTTAGTGTGTTTTAGTTAGTGTTTTTGGCCTTTTCCTAATTTATAAATTAGGCTTTTTCGTGGACCGTCGGATCGACTCCGAATTTAAACGTGGGCCGTTGGATCACACTCGATTAGTTGACTTTCTCCCCCCCTCTCTCTCTCCTCTCTCTCTCTGCTCCCCCACGTCGCCGCTGACCCCACGTTGTTGACTTCTCTTTTCTCGCTGCTGACCCCATGCTGTTTCTACTGACTGCTGCCGTTTCTGCTTCTGCCTTACCACTGCTGAACCCACATTGCTACTACTGCTGCTGACTTCACCCATTCCCCATGATGAACTTCACGTGTTGCTGCTTCTACCCCTTTGCTGCTGCTGCCGCTTCTTCTTCACTTCTGCTTCTTCGTGTGTCTAGTTTTTCTTCATTATGCTTCCTTCGGCTTCTTCTTATCCAGCCGGCTGCCAGATCTAAACCATGCTGGAACCAGCCATGCCGAGCAACACTCCACCCCGCCACCGCACCACCGCCATCCTAGCTTCGTCCCTGGCCGAGCCGCACTGCCCCTGTTGCCTCGAAGTTTTCCGTCGCCGGCTGTTTTCTAGCCGAGTTTCCAACTTTGTCGCTTGCCGATTCAGCCGCCGTTCACCTCACAACACCGCCATTCTCTCCCATTCTCACCCTCATCTCTCTCTCACTTGCTCACTCGGCCATCACCAGCACCACCCCCGACCACCTGAGCTGCCGTCCATCGTCCGCCCTTGCCGCTGCATCGCCGGAGTAGCCGCTGCCGTGCCAAGGCTCTTGTTTGCTCCCTTGCTAAGTTGTCTTGCTTAGGCTCTCTTGTAAGTGGCTTCCTAACCCTTGACTAGGCTAAGGGGTGACTAATAGACATGTTAGGGATGGTTTAAGGGCTGTTGATAGTTGGTTTAGTGGCTGGTTGTGCTTGGTTTGCTTGGTGGTTCTTATTGGTTGATTTCCGGTAAGGTTGCTGCTGCGTCGCTGGATTTTTCTATTTTTTTGTGACTTGTGTGTGCCGAATTTGAGGAAATTTTCTTCATGAAAGTTGTTCATAACATATTGAGGTATGACATTTATTAAATATGGAATTTTTGGAGATCATTTAGGGCCATTCGTAAGTCCATTTTTGGACCGAATTCAGTCTGCCGGATTTACTGTTCACCCGACCTTCTTGTCTTTCCGATTTTCTATAAATTTTTTCAAACCTCTTTTCAACAAACTTTCTTCACAAAAATTGTTGAGAACATCCGTTTCTATTACATATAAAAATTTTAGAGCTTTCCAAAGTGATTTGAGTACTGAATGAGTTGTATTTTTTATGGTCTGAGGGGCTGTTCGAGTGAACCGGGTTCTGTCCGGATTTGAGTGTCAAAACGAGGTGTTTACAATCAGAAATGGATTTCGTGTCCTTCATGAAAAAATTTTATCAAGATGTTT